AGCGGGCGGGGAGCGGATCCCGCCGGGAGCGGCACCGGGAGCGGATCCCGCCAGGAGCGGATCCCGCCGGGAGCGGATCCCGCCGCTTTGGCCGCCCTGGCCGCCCTGGTGAGCAGCGCCCAGCCCATGGCGGGCCCCTCAGGACACAGAGCGGGAACAAAGATGAGGAAGAGGCTGGAGCGTCCCCCAGGAAAGGCTGAGGGGGCTGGGGCGGCGGGAAGGGGACCCCATCCGTGTGTAAATGGCCCAGAAGGGTGACAGGGACCTGCGCCAGGCCCTGCTCCCCAGGAAGTGCCACCTGGGCATGAGGAACATCTGCTGCCCTGGGCAGTGAGCGCTCCCTTCCGCGGGACTGTGTTTGTGTGGGGGCATCTCAGAGACACCCGTGTGTTCCTGAGGACTCCTGTGTTCCCAGAATGTATTTAAAAAAAAAATAATAAATTAAAAGTTGCTTTTAAGACAATTTAAAGGATGCCATTCCTTGGCCTGGTTGTTGGGTTGGAATGGAGTGCCCAGATAACCCTTCCTGATGCTCGGCATCCATGGTGACACTAAAGATTTCCCACTGTCTCCTGTCTTGTCTCGTTTCCAGGGATGATCCCGTGCCAGGGGGATGGACAGGAGTACCTTGCCAGCAGTGGCACAAGAGCTCTTGAGAGAGATCAAAAAGGCTTTCCAGGAGACCTCCCAGGGTACGTGAAGGATGCCAGCAGGAGTGGCCAGGAGCCTGTCACACCCCAAGGGAGTGATGAGGGTCCTTGGCCTCCCCTTTTTTACCAGACCCCCTTGTCTCAGGGACAGCCTTCACCTTTGTGTCCTTTTTTGTGACAACAGACGGGTGTGAAGCACAGATAATGAGGAGCAGCCCCTTCTCCAAGTCTAATTGAAAAATCACACCAGTTAGGACTATTTTTTTTTTGAATGTGAGGTTTCAGGGTAATGCTGCTTCTCAGAGCTCCTGGTGCACGTGGTCACACTTGAGGGATGATAAATTAATGCCTCTGCGCAGGAATTCTGCTGTGCCCTCTGCCCTGCCGGTTTTATAGACTCACCAGTCCCAAAAGTGGAGCTGGAAAGGGAAATTTGCCTGGCTGGCCGGCAGAGGGGGTGTTCTGGTGATCCCAGCTGGGAACAACCTCCCGGTGCTTCAGGGAAACGAGCACAAGGCAGCAGTGAAATCCTGGCCAGTTCCAGCACTTAGTTAAGAACAATTACCTTTGCTGGATCTGTGCTAAGAGAATATTAATGTTTGTGTTTACTGGATGAGTTACACAGAATGGCTCTTCCCAAGGAAAGTGTCTGCTGAAGGAATATTTTTAACTGCACAAAACCCAAACAAATAAGAATTCAGATAAATCTGTCTTGAGCACTATGTGGGAGTGAGGAATGGGCAGAAACTTCATGTCTAAACTGTCAGTGACAGCTTTTTGGCACACTTCATTATGGCTCCTGTCAGGTTAGAGTAGATCCAAAATCTACATGTGACTTTTAAAAGAGCTTTATAAATCCTGTTGTAAACTGAGCAAAAAGAGAAGTTTACATTCCTTTAAAGATGTCCTTAAAGCAGCAGAGTGGTACTAAAGCACACATTTGAGACAGAGCTGTGGAGACAAAATGATTGATCCTTTTGCAGAATTAAATTCAAATAAAGCTGGAAAATTCAAACCAACAGTGCAAGTCATAGAGTATTTTGAATTGTTGAAAGAAAAGGCTTTTAAAGTCAAAAATCCAGATCTTCCAGTGGGATATAGAGACAGAGTACACTGTGTCCCCTGGGTGACAGCATAAAGATCAGAGGGGACAAGCAGAGCCTGAGCTGTCAGCTACAACAAACACTGCTGTGCTTGAGTGTAACTTTCCATCTTAAGGAGAAGTTCCAATAAATGAGGACACAATGTTTCAGTGGGCTGTATGGAAAGCCATAAACTGGTGGCTCCCTGCAAGAGTGTGTTGGGAAAAAAACAACATTTTTAAAGTCATGATGCCAGAGTTCTCAACTCATGGCAGGAAAGCTTCAGGGAAAATAATAAATATATTTTTAACTAGCTTCTTAAAGTGAGAGTAAGATGCTGAGCTTCCTGCCTTTTATTGTGTGCTTTTGAATGTCACAAAAGAAAGTACACTGGGGCTTCTGTTTTTCAAATGAATCCCTGTAGTTTGTGATTGCTGTACTTGGTAAGTGCCTTAGCACTGTGCATGAGCATTTCACTGCTCCTTGTTGCTTTTTTGGTGGCTAGAGAGGATGCTGAGAGCACTGCAGTCCTGTGTGGCCTCTGGGTGTACCTTGGGGGGACAGTGACCCTCCTGTCATGTGAAATTCTGTGAAATCACATTTCCTTTTCTTTCTGTTGCAGTCCCTGATGACCTGCTGCTGGGGTGAGTGTCTTCTGCTTCGGTTCCTGCCCCAGTGTCCTGCTGAAGGGCAAGTTGGTGTCAGCTCTCATCACTGTTTTCCCCTGTGTTTGACCAAGTGCTGCTGAAACACAAAAATGCCAGTGGTTTTGGTGGTAGTGGAAATGAAGGTCCTGAAGGGTTTTTTTTGAGATATTCACAAAATTATCTCTGTATCACTGCATCTCCTGTAATGACTTGTTCTAATTTAAACCCTGGATATTTAACCTGAGCTCTGAGTCCAGCCTCAGGTCTGGAAGGATTGTGGATCTCAGGAGTGGATTGTGTTGCAGGCTGATTCATCCCTCTGCCTTCCTGCCACTGTGAGCACCCTGAGCTCACTCCTGTGTGAGTCATGGGCATCTGTGATGGAGAGGGAGAAGTGTCCTTATCATCATCCTGCACAAGGGAATTGTTAACTTGGAGGCTGAGAGTTTTCTTCTGTTTAGGGGCAGTCTCAGGTCAGCTTTGTCACCCTTGTGAATACTTTGGTCATTCCCAGCAGTGACCTAAGAGATCCAAGTTTCACAGCTTCAGCCCTCACCAGTTGGTGTTGAAGGT